TCATCCAGGTAACTTTTCATCCACTTGTATGCTATCCCTCTTATGCCATATCTCTCTAGTTTATTCATTAATATAGAATGATCAATTGTATCAAACACCTTTTTTAAGTCTATAAAAACACCAACAGTATATTCCTTATTATCTATAGCATTAGATATCCCTTCAACAAGTTCCATCACTGCCATCGAAGTGGACCTTTTCACTCTAAAGCCATATTGGTTATCACTTAGGAGATTATGCTTCTCAATATATTTATCAAGTCTATTAACAAATAACTTTTTTAAAATTATTGAGAACTGTGGGAGCAGTGATATTGGCCTGTAATTGGTAAACTGACATCTCTCTCCATTTTTATGGATTGGAATAACTTTTGCTATTTTCATTTGTGAGGGAAACACACCAGTTTGAAAGGAAAGTTTACAAATGTATGCGAAAGGTTGCACTATATGTTCTATAATACTTTTAACTAATATCGTGTCAATACCAAAACAGTCAGTGGACTTTTTATTTTTAAATGCCTTCACAATGTTAATTATTTCTCTATGAGTTACAGCACCAATAAACATGGAGGACACATTCTGAGTAATATGTTTATTTAGGTCATTATTATTTCTTGACTCTGGAATTTCTTTTGCTAAATTAAAGCCAACATTTACAAAGAAATCATTAAATTCATTTGCAATGTCTTTAGTTTTATCAAGCACAATATCTTTATCGTTTTTTGAAATAGTCTGGATAATTCTTATATTTTGAGCCCTTTTTGATTATACTATTTAATATCCTCCATGTTTCTTGTGTGTTACTTCTACTTTTCTCCAATAATTTGTGGTAATATTCTTTCTTACTTGTTCTTATAATATTTACTAATCTATTTTTGTACAACTTGTACTTTATTTCAGCATCTTTTGTCCTCTGTTTTATGAATCTCTTATATAGATTATTTTTCTTTTTACATGCATCTTCTATCCCCTTTGTGATCCATGGCTTATTTGATCTGTGATGCTTTCTAGTGATTTCCATTAAAGGACAGTGTTTTTCATATAGTGAGATTACAGTTGATAGGAATGCATCATGCGCACTATTTGAATCTTCATTTGCAAAAACCTCATTCCAGTTGTGTTCCTTTAAGTCCACCTGGAGGGCAGCAATGGCTCTTGTTGTTCTATGTCGTATCATATCAAATGTTTCATTCTTTTGTTTAGTTTTAATCCCAATATAATTTTGGAAATTGCAAAAACAGGAAGATGATCGCTTATATCAGTTATAAGAAGTCCACCTACTATTTCATGGTCAATTTTATTTGTGAATATATTATCTATCAATGTAGCTGTATCAATTGTTATTCTACTTGGTTTTATAATTACAGGGAAAAGGGAGTTACTATACATTGTACTGATGAAATCTGTTGTTTTCTGATGTCCAAATTATTTGCACTTTTTTATCATTTAGGTTGCTAAACATAGCAGCAAGTCTTTCATTTAAACTGACACTAATAACTGAAAACAGCTATGAAGCAAATGAACAGCGGAAGACATCTGTGTTTATCTATGAATTTGGAGGTATGGAGATGTCTGGGAGAGCGGGAGGTGGGCTTTTAATCAGATTGTTTAACACAGTTCTGGAGAGTGAGAGGATGTCTGATGAATTAACTGATTGGTACTTATTTTAGAAAACAAAGATGATGTTATTTTTTCAAAAATGATGTGGCAAGAGGTTCACAAGAGCTGCAATCTCTCCCCATACTTTCAAAAATATGCACCCCTGTGGCACAACCCAAAAATAAAAATAGGTAAACAAACAATTTATTGGCCACAGTGGCACAAAAAACACATAAGATTAATAAGTGATTTATATGAAGATAACATGTTTATGTCCTTCAATGATTTGACAGTAAAGTTTAATTTGGAAGGACCCGGCCATTTTTGGCGATATTTACAAATGAGAGACTGTCTGAAAGATAAAATAAAATTGTCTCAGGAGAAAAATGTCATAGAGAATTTCTTTGTACTTCCACCCTTAACTGCAAAGGCATTAAAATGGTATCATTTATGTCATTGGGTTAAAAACAACATATGTAAAAGTCTTAAAAGGGCTTGGGAAAAAGATCTGGATTGTTCCTTCGATGAGGGAACATGGGATTCAATTGTTTCTGAAAATGGGTTCTACATTAGGGAAGCTAGAGGCAAATGTATTCAATATAAAATTCTCAATAGGTACTATTATACACCAACGAGACTTTGTAAAATGGGAATCAGTAAAGACGACCTGTGCTGGAAGTGGCAAGAAGGAAAAGGTATGTTAGTACATGCTTTATGGGAATGTCCACTGGTCTCCCCAATATGGGAAAATGTTTTAAAATATATGGAGGGTTGGGTGAAACTTAAATTACATAGATCACCAAGACTGTGCCTATTGGGGGACAGAGGTGAGGTGCCAAAGTTAGACAAAGCAGGATTTAGAGTGTTAAACACTGGGATTGTGACGTGTGTTCGTCTCATTTTAACACTTTGGACAGACCCTCGGACTCCAACCCTAAAAAAGTGGAAGGAGAAAATGACTGAAAATGCCGCATGTGAGAAAATGCTGGGAAGACTGAGCAGTAAGACAGAGACTCTAACAGAACAATGGGACAGTTTTTTGGTTTATATGGGCCTACAACATGAAGACAATGTGAGATACAGTATGAATTAAGACTTAACTGTGTGTGCAACAGTTTATCTATTTATTTATTTATTTTATATATTTATTTATTTTTCTTCACTGAGTGTGTTTTTTTGTTGTTGTTTTGGGTTGTTATGTTATGGTTTTCTTAATTGTTCAAAAATAATAATAATAAAAAACTTTAATTATTAAAAAAAAGAAAACAAGGATGATGTGCAGACCTGGAATAATTACAGAGGGACAAAAGTGATGAGCCATACCATGAAGATATAGGAAAGAGTTGTTGAAGCTAGGTTGAGGACAGAGGTGATGATCAGCGAACAGCAGTATGATTTCATGCCAAGGAAGAGCACTGCAGATGAGATGTTTGTTTTGAGACTGCTGATGAAGAGTAGAGAAGGTCAGAACGCATTGCTCTGTGTGGGTGGGACTACATCGGATATTAGCTCTGAGCTCTTTCTTGTTTGCATTGGTGTTGGACAGAATGACAGATGAGGTCAGGCAGGAGTCTCTATGAACTATGATGACAATGAAAGTAGGTAAAAGGTGGAAGAAAACCTGGAGAGGTGAAGATATGCTGAATTAAACTCAATAGAAGCAGAAAGGGGGCATATGTCCTACTAACCTGTAACAATTGTGATACTTGCTTCTAATAAAAGATATATGAAACATAAACTCAATAGAAACATAGCAGAAAATGTGTGTGAATGAGACCGAGACAGGTGTAATAGTAAACATGTAAGGAGGAGAGCTAGTCAAGGTAGATGAGTTTAAATGAGCCGCACCATCAAAAGTAACAGACAGCGCGCAACAAAATTGCAGGCCAGGTGAGTTGAAGCAGGTGGAGACAAGCACCAGGGGTGATTTTTCACAAAAGGATAGCAACAAGAGTGAAAGAAAAGATTTACAAGGCGGTAGTGATGTATGGTTTGAAGATGGTGACACTGACAAAAAGAACCATTCAGCCATTAGTGAAACACTTCCCATTAACATAACAATCCAAAGTAGTAAACAGTGCAGTGGGGGTGTTTAACATAGATATATAAGAAACAAACGTCATTGTTCACAACAATACAAAATTAGACATATCTATTGATATTATCCCGAATTTCTAAATTAGTTTTTATGGAAGCAATAACAGTGTGTAAGCAGGGAGGTTCCTGTACGTGTGCGTGCTTGTCGTCTTTTGACGCGAACGCGCGCGTAGCTGTCAGTAGGAAATACAGGCTGTTCGCGTCTGCCGAGCCCCTGCGGCTGTGCCTGGACATCTGATCACAGAAAGTCGGCCTATTACAAAATGAAAATTATCACTTACAGACTCGCTTGACTTTGGTGAGAATGCGTCGAACAAGTGCGCATGTGTAACCGCGGTACCGAGGCATCCCGCTAGCTAGCACGGCTAACAGAAACAGAACACTATCGGGGCTAATGCTAATAGTTAAATAAGCTAACTTAGCTAGCTGTTAACTTAGCTAGCTAGCTCACGGATTGCGGGACGTTTGTTCTCCCAGCTCATCTCCCCGTTCAGCGGTTCCTGCCCCTGTGTCGCCTTTTCGTGTTCTCATTAATTGGATAAGGTTACGGAACCGGAGCTGTGGCGGGGGGACGAGACGACAGGAACCCCCTGGCTGGCTATCCAGGCGGACCGATCACAGTGACACGCCGGTGTGGGTGAGTTGAAGAGTGGAGTTGAAGTTATAGTTGATAGGGGGGCAGCGGGGTGGACAAGGCCTGTGGACGTTGCTCAGCTGGGGCCTGGCAGGGAGGCAGGGTGGGTGTTAACTATTAGCTGCTCGTAAAATGTTGCCTTAGCGCGCTGAATCGGGAAGTCGAGTCGCTTGTAGCAAGGCCTCTTGAGAGGACATAACAACAAAGTGACTGTGACTATTGTGGTGGTGTTATTCGCTGCTAGCTCGTAACACATAGCTGTCTGGAGAAGCCACCACAAACATGAACCTGCTCCATCAGCAAAAAAGCTGGATCACCATGGTTGTCCGGCCGCTTTGTTGAGTACCAGTGCACTCGTGCATGTAATGAGGAAATTGCATTTTCTGGGACACTGGCTTAATCATCGATTAAGTACATTTCTGATGTATTTACTAAGAGTTTTCATTTTTGTGTGTTTTTTGCCGTGAGCCTTTGTGTGACTACAAATAAGAAGTTCCTGAATTATGTAGACACACCACTATCACTTCACTGTACAATATAGGCTTTCGTGGCAAAAGAGGAAATGTAGCTTCGTGTATTTATTGGTGTTAGGTTTATGTTGATAGCACACTTGATGTTATGAGGGAAATCTGGGATGGGCTGTGAATCTTTTTATAGTGAATGTATTATATTAGTTTAAAAATAATATTAATTAAAATTTTGACTCATTCTTAAACTGCTTCTGTTTTAAGAAGAGTTGCAAAGGAATTGTTAGAAGTCTGTTTTCATACACTTTCACACCCATGTTTTATTTTATTATTGACCCGTTGCTGTTAAGATTTGTCTCTTAATCCCTCTGTAGAAGCATTATTTGTGTAGCTGTGAGTTTAATATTATTACAATTAAAATTCAACTGCTTGTCTTTCTTTTCTTTTTCTAAAGGAGAGAGTGGAACCATGGCTGAGCTTTCCACCTTATCCCCATCCCCACCTGCTTTGGGTGATCCTCATGCAGCTCCATCTATCCCTCCGTCATCACCAGGGCTTCCTCCACCTAACAGCACTGCTACAGAGTCTCCCAGGGAGGTGTCCATACCCAAGTCTTCCCTTTTTAATGACAAAGCTTTGAGTGGAAAAACTTCTGCAGTACTGGCAGGGGGGTCCCCCTTGATTCCCCACCGATCCTCAAATCCTCCCGACCTCACAGCTGAGGCTCCCCTTCTATCATCGGTACAGCAGCCTGCTCCAGGGAATGAAGAATCAGCAGGAAAGCCACCAGCTCCAAGCGAAGTGGCACAGGCGTCCCCCTCTCCTGATCTAAATCCTGGTCCTAACCTATACCCTAACCTGCAAGTCACCTGTAACCCAAATCCTGTTGTAGAAGAAGCTCAACTTAAAGTGGGACAACCCCAGACGACTGCAGGTCCCAATCCTGCACCTGCTCCTCCAGTCTTATCATCATCATCATCAGCAGCAGCAGCAGCAGCAGCAGCAGCTGAAGGAGAAAAACCTCAGCCGCTCCAAGAAGCACAAAATGCTCCAAACGAGCCTCCACCTTTGTACCCAAAGCCTGGTACTCCCAATGAAGCCAGGATGGGAGAACTGCCTGCTACTCCTACCAGAGCTGAACCCCACAGCCCACCACTCCCCCTGATCCAAGAGCCACCGTTGTCCTTCGCTCTACCCAAACCCCGGCCGGCACCAGATACCCTCAGTTACCTTGAGTCAGCCAGCCTGATGTCTGGAACTTTGGAGTCTCTGTCTGGACTGGGAGAAGATGGCAGCTCCGTGGGGTCAGATTCAGAGATTAATGGCCTAACTGTCAGACGCACTGACAAGTATGGCTTCCTAGGTGGGAATCAGTACAGTGAAGGGGGGTAAGTACACATTAACCAGTCACACACACTCCCAGCTACTGTACAAAAGCATGTGCTGTGCCGCTGTGTAATATTAATATTTTAAACAAAGCATAGCAAAAACCTGCTCTTTCATGCTTAGCTTCACTGCAGGTGGATCACTATTTGTAATATGAGACACTATTAAATCATGACCACAGAATTGGTTTACTCAGAAAAGTGTAACTCTTGCTTGACTGTTTTCCTATGGCCACTTTACACCATCTGACTCACAGAGATCCATCCCAGCCTCCCTTTCCTGCCTTCCTCTTCTTCTATGCTACTCTAAACATATCTGTCTGTCCTTTATCTCCCCTTGGTCTGACTCAGATAGTGCTGAGAGCGCTTTTGTGACTCATTATGTACTGACTCTGTCTGTGTTGTATTTCCCATCGCACCCATCTGCTCTCTTCCTCCCCTTTTTTTGTCAGATTTGCTTTTACTTTTCTGGCAAGCTAATTGCTCTTCCTCTGTTGAATAATTAAAGTCTTATTGATTTGCCCTGGGTGTCAGTGCCAGTCAATTCCTGTCATTGTTCGTGATTTTCTGTGAGTTAGCAAAATGTTGTGCAAATTGAGGCAAGCCATTCGTGTTATTAGATTCAAGTGCTCAAAGTGTAGTTTTTAGTGGTATCAAAAGAACAAAGAACTTCCTCATTCTGTCAGCATAAAGTCATTTTATATTACTCACTATTGCAGTGAAAAGGAAGTTCGAGTTGATGTTGCACGACAGCGGGAAATGAAATGGATTGACATGTTCTGCCACTGGGATAAGTGGGTCAAACATCGCTTCCAGAAGGTACACACACAGCAGCCTTTCAGTATGTGATGGTAAAAGTGAGAACAGAACTGCTAAAAAATTAAATAACAGAACAATCAAGTCACACATCTGATCTTTATTAATGAAACATTCAAGTTGAAAATCTTTATTTATAACGTCACTGCTACCAGTAAAAACTAGAATCACACACACAGAACCCCCCCAAAGAACATATAGTATGAATTAATGATGGGTAAACATTATGTCAGAGCCGATGGCCTAAATGTCTGCCTTACAGGTGAAGCTGCGCTGTAGGAAGGGGATTCCATCCTCTCTCAGAGCAAGAGCCTGGCAGCTGCTGTCCAACAGTGAGGAGCTTCTAAGAGACAACCCTGGGAAATTTGAGGTATCACAGTTGTCATGTCATTTTTAGCACTAATGAACTAGTTTTCATTTATTCAATGTAGAAAGTGGAATAAATACAAATTATTTGATCTCTGTTATTCAACTTAATTCTCTTTCAATTTAAGACAATTGCAGCTGGTTTGAAAACATTTTGGGAGATATCTTTAGTATTGACTAAGTGGCTTGTAGTGGGGCTGAGAAGGCCACTTGCAGCTCCAGGAGTGCTAAAGGGGCGCAGGCGCAGGCCTAGTGAGAAATAAGCCTCTTATCAGGACCAGTAATCCTGCCTGTTGATGCCCTGCCCCTCTGAGAGGGTCTGGCCTTGACTAGGCGGTGTCCAGCCATTTACTAACTTATTGTTCCTCTTATCTATGAAAGAATTTCTTTGCCAGCATTTTTATTTTTAGTTAATAATTAAACGTCCTGTATAATCCACTTTTATGGCTAAAAAATAATTTCCAGAGAATTTATTGATAACTTTCTTGTTTGTTTGTTTGTTTGTTTTCTCTTTCGCTACAGGAGCTGGAGAGAGAGCAGGGAGAGGCTAAATGGTTGGACATTATAGAGAAGGATCTCCACAGGCAGTTCCCCTTTCATGAGATGTTTGCTGCTCGCGGTGGCCACGGGTAAAACAATAAACACAAACACAGTCTATTTTATACCAGAGGAACCATGGCATGCATGATTGATTAAAAAAGGAACACCATGCACTCTGCACTACTTGGAAATGATTTGATCTTTGTAGCTGCGTATCAGGGCAGGGTCACAGTAGGATGTTACTATATCTGTTGGTAAACATTAAGGCTGTGCCATATAATAATATCCTGAATAAAACACAGAATCACAATAGCTCATTGAAAAAGGACTAATAAAAGCTGCTGGCTGTGGGTCTGCAATCAGCAATAAAACGTAAATTTTTTTATTTTTATTTTTTGAGGCTTTATCAAAAACTTTTGTTATTGTTTTTTAGGGAAATTTGGCTTCCACAATAAAACAAATTGGATTCGATTAAAGGTAGAATCAAAGATAGCAGTAATAGTGATATCAGACATTCAAAGATGAAATGAAAAAAAGGGTAACGTGACAAAACAAAGCCAATGAACAAAACAAATGTGTACTTTAAAAAGATGTTTGAAGTAATCCTTGTATAGAATAATTAATATTCTTTCATTTTCTTTCAAGTTTATTGAAAGAAATTCTTTATTTATTATTATTTATGTAATTTTTTTTGAATAGCTCATGAACTGGAGGTAACACCCAAGTTCCCCTCGTAAGCCACTGAATAATTGTCATGCTTGTTCTTGCAGTCAACAGGATCTGTACCGAATCCTCAAGGCCTACACCATCTACCGGCCTGATGAGGGTTACTGCCAGGCCCAAGCGCCGGTGGCTGCAGTACTGCTCATGCACATGCCTGCAGAGGTGAGGGGTGGAATGGTTAGGGTACTGTTTCTCATTAGGTTTTGAGTGTTAGTTTCACAATGATGACTTCAGAAGCGTGATTTCTTGAGAAAGTCTCATGAATATATGAACAATGACTTGTGGTGAAAGTCTGTTTTTACTACAAAAGAACTAAAATAAATGCGGGTACGTTAAATACCGTCCAGTTTACTTTTGTCCTCCATATCTAAACATGTATCATTTGAAGCAGTGTTTTAAATCCGGTGTGCAGCGTTTGTTTTCACATAAGAGAAAAAAAGGAAACTGGATGAATTGACGCATTGGATGATGAGTTAATCTTACAACCTTTAGCTATGTGTGTGGTCAGACTTTCTTAGAAATCAGGGATGTTTTGTTTTAGCCTTGGTCTTTCTATTTATCCCTCCTCTGCTGACACGTTAATAAAGAGAGGGCGCGTGACAAAAGAGAGTAGGCAGAGCGAGAAAACAAAACGCATCTGAAACGTGACTTTATTTGGTTGCTATTTCACTGGAAAGTCTTCTTAATTAAAAATAGGAGACCGAAGAAGCCTAAAATGCTTATTGCACCGCCCCTAACCCATATTACAAGGTGACATCATTTCTTTCTGTGACCTCACTTCTGTCCGCGATGGAAACAGCGTGGGCTGATGTTTTTACAGTATTGTGACCACGCCTGCTTAAATGTTACTGTCGCAGTGTGAAATCTAAGTTTGCTCATTTCTTTAAATAAACAGGTGAGCGCGAACTGTGTTATGTAAGGCTTGTTTTCTCACGTCAGTACCTCATAGCAAACTGCGCCTTTACCTCTTTGTCACAATTAGACTTGTAGATTCTTTTTCAGATAATGCTTCTTATGAAACCAACATCTATTTAAAGCTGGGCAAGCTGATTTTTGTTTGTTTGTTTGTTTGACATAAAAAGATGTATTCAGGAAATAATTGATGTTGTTCAGTCAAGTTTTGCTCTTTGTTTTAGTGGTTAATGCTTTAATATTAAACACACTTGCTTAGCAAACACATGTAGCAGCAGAGGGCATAATAATGCACATATCTGCTTTAAACGCACTCGGATTATACTCAATTGTGGTTACAACACTGATGAGAAGTTCTACTTTTTATATTGTTTCTTAGTATTTTGCAATCTACTTGTAGTGTAGTGTCCACATAGTCCTCTCCCACACTATAATAAGTCAGAATATATTTGTTTTTCAATCTACAATTTATTGTTTGCTGTGCAAGCCTTTAACTTTTCTTTCTGTTTCACAGCAAGCGTTTTGGTGCCTCGTCCAAATATGTGAGAAATATCTTCCTGGCTACTACAGTGCAGGGCTGGTGAGTGAATAAACATGTATTGCTAGTCTGTTACACAGTTATCTCAGTTTTAATAATTTTGTTTTATTTATTTTTTTCCTTTAGGAAGCGATTCAACTTGATGGCGAGATCTTTTTCTCTGTGCTGCGTCGCACGTGTCCAATGGCGTATCGTCATCTTAAGAAGTTCAAGATCGATCCCATTCTCTACATGACGGAGTGGTTCATGTGTATCTTCTCACGCACTTTACCATGGTCCTGTGTCCTGCGTGTATGGGACATGTTCTTCTGTGAAGGTACCGTTAATATCTGCAGGTTTCACAGCCAGTTGTCAGCGCTTTTGTCTGTTTAGTGAATTTGATCCATGTACCTCTGTTTAGAAATTACTTGCAAATGTGCATGAAACAGTCTGACCTTAAATATCCAATCCGATTTTATTTATAAAGCGCTTTAAAATAGCCAGCACAGGATCAGAGTGCTGTACATTAAATAAGTTAAGAACAATAGAATAAAATAAAACGGCAAAAAAATAAAACCCAAATGCATCAAATTAAATTTAAAATGTAAATAGCAGGTACTTTACGACCAGCAACCTGATTTGATTAAATGCAGGAGCTGTAAGAATGCAGAATTTTACTGTTTTGTTTTTTTGTTAAATAATTTTTATTTTAATCCTGTGGAAAAAGAGAAAAAGGGTGTTTTTTCCATCTCTGTATTTTCGCTATTGGATTCTGCTGTAGTAGTTTTTCATGATCCACCATTCAAAGTAACCCACGTTTATCTGGCGCTGGGGCTTTTGCAGTCATAGTGTTCATCCTCTTCAAGCTATTGTAGCTCCCCTTTCTCCTCCCTTTAAAGCTGCTCTATTCAAAAATGCTCGAAACATGGCGGTGTGGCCAACCACAGATGCCCCGCCCTCTTCTGTGGTCGCAGCCAGAGCGGTGTGCCTGAGATGACCATATTAGGAATATCAGCCCTCATTTACATCGTACGCAACCAAGAATAGAAAATGTCTGTGTCCTCAACTGTATCGGTGTTTATGACTTGTGAAAATAAGAAAATGCATAATTATCCCCTTTAACAGAACTTTGAGAACTGCTTTTTTTTCTAGATCTAGTTTTTCTAGATTGACAGAAACCTAACTTAAGTGTCTGTGTGTAGGAGTGAAGATAGTCTTCCGTGTCGGCCTGGTGCTGCTGAAACAGATGCTTGGTTCTGTGGAAAAACTTCGGGAACTTCAGGGCATGTATGAGACCATGGAGCGTCTAAGAAACATCTCACCCGACACTATCAGAGAGGACATATTGGTACAGGAGGTCAGTGTTTATGGAGGCTGTGTACATAAAGCTTGTTTCTGTTTTTACTCAGAGACACGAGTTATTAGTCATTTTATCCTGTTGTGGCTCATCTTGTTATCCTCACTTCCTCTGTCTCTACTTTGTCTGATGTTTTGTTGTCCAGATCGTCGCTCTCCCAGTGACTGAGGCACTCATAGAGAGAGAGTGCAACATTCAGGTGAGGAAGTGGAGGGAGTCCAGAGGGGAACTTATGCACCAGCCGGGACGCCGCCTTCACGGTACAAGAGCTATCTTTGAGTACAAACGCAGAGCTGCTTCCATCAGCTCTGGTGGAAGCTTCTCTTTCCTAGGAAGCTCGATCCCACCACCAGGACCCCTCAGGGCCTCTTCCAGTTTGCTGTCACTCCCTGGCTTCCGCAAATCTAGGGCTCCTTTCCACTCCCACGCCAAGAAGGGCTCCTTCTCAGGGCCGTCAGGATTTGAGGGCTTTCCACCTCCGTCACCACCCGCAGTAACATCGAGCTCGAACCGAGGGCCCAGCCAGAAACCACCTATGCCCCCAGGGGCAGGTCATAAGGCAGCACCGCAGAGCCCCTTAGTATCAAAGGTGGCTAGTTCATCTCATGGTCCTGCTCCAGCCTCAGAGAGCACATCAGCACAGGGCGAGCCTGCTTCTTCGGCCCCAATGCAAAGCACACCACAACCCCCCGCTACTCTGGCCCCCTCTCCTAAGATCGTCTCGGAGCAAATTACTCCCACTATCCCGTCTCCTACTGCAAACAACACCCCTCTGCCCCCATGCCCAGATTCAAAAAAAGAAACGGCACCTCCATCAGCCGATGCCGCAAATGTGGAGGAAGAAGGAAAGAAGAAGAAGAAAAGCAAAGAGGACAAGAAGAAGGAGAAAGAAGACGAGAAGAAAAAACAGAAGGAAAAAAAGGAAAAAGAAAAGGCTGAAAAAGAGAGGCTCAAAAAAGAGAAAGAGAAGCTAGAAAAAGAGAAGAAGAAAGGGGGCAAGAAAAAAGACAAAGGAGGAGGAGGAGGGGATGCAGAGGACAAAAGTGGAGCTGCAGCAGCGAAAGAGTCGGCCTAATTTTCCACCTCGTCATTCCAGGATAACAAAAAAAGGGAGGCTGAACAAACAAAACAACACAAAAAAGAGGTCAGGGGAACAAAAGATCCCCAAAAACAGTGACTAATATAAAAATGGGATGGCTTCCTATATAATGCATCATTTCAAGGATTTAAAGTAGTGTAAGGACTATGTTGGAGAAAACTGGATCATGGTTTCAACAGCACTTTTTGCCTCTCGTGAGATGGGACAAAATTTCCTTTTTTTCTTTCTTTTTTTCCCCAACTGGAGCATGGACTGTGAAACTTTTTTTTAATTATTATATATATATATATAAAGGATTACAGTCACTTTCTGTTTTAGTTTTTTAAATTCTTTTTTTTTTTCCTCTTCTGTTTTTAATGATTTTAATTAAACTGATGGCAGTGGTGTGAGGGGAAAATCATCTCAAACGCTTGCAGAAGTTGTTACGGTGCCATAGAAAATGTAAATAAAAGGTCTACCTACGATACATAGGATCGTGTTAACACTCCAAATGCCCCGTCAGGTCTCATCTGATGAAAAGGGTTATTTGGGGGAGGGGAGAAAACGGAAATAAATCATTTAAAGTCTCAAACGCAGGCACTGAAGACAGAAATGCTAGTAATATTGTTGAGGATGTATTTATTGTCACGTTTAATGTTGTCTGTGCCTTAGTAGTGTAGTGAAATGTGTCAATGTGCTTTGTGTGGCCTCCCTTTTTTGTTTTAAGTCAAACTACCATTGAACCCCTTCTGTGTTTTCAAACTTTTACTAGATTAGATTTAAAAAAAACAACAAAAACAAAAGAGGGGGAAGTAGAGGAAAAACCATACCTTGTAGTCTGTTAGTGACGGCAGTGTTTTAATGGGTCACTCTTTTTTTTGTTTGTGTTTTGGATAAGCTGGTAATGTTTTTATTTCAGGTTTTAGGGGTTTTTTTGGTGGTTTTTTTCAAAGGTTAAAAAAAGGAGGTACAACATTATCAGTAAATTGCTTGTGTGCTAACATGCAAGCAGTATCTGTGCACAAGTCCTGCAGACCAAATATCCTTCTGTGAGTTTAGTATTATTTCAGTTTCGTTGAACAAAATAGTGTGCACAGGTATGGGGTCCTTAACTCATTAGAATGTGATTTCAATTATCGTAAGAGAATGAAGAATTTTTCTTGTTTTTGTTTGTTTGTTTGTTTGTTTTGGGGTTTTTTGCACTTGTCATTTTGTCACAAAGCACCACTGAAGGTGACCACTCCTTTAGTGCGGTGACATGGAGAACAAGCGTCTCAGCAGGCTGGTTTCAGCCTTGTGGACCTATAGGAAGCCACTTGACTGGAGGTGCCAGGTGTGCCAATGTAGCATTAACCTCTGATCTTTGACCTTTTGGGCTCTGATGTATTTATGTAAAAAGTGGTTAATTTAATCAAATATAGTATATTATGAATTATTATTATTATTTTGGATCTGAGTATTTTTCTATCTAAGTGAGAGACACCTGGTTGACTGGAATAGAGGCTGACTACACAGCGTAGTTGCAGAGGAACTGTTCAAAGTCTTTTATTTTTATTTCATTTCTTGTTTTCTTTTTTGTTTTCTTTTTGCACATTAAGTCTTCAGCTTCAGCAAACTCAATGCATCTCTTTTGGTTTACTTTCACTGTTGGTTTGGTCAACTTAGGTTCACGAGTCTCCAGTTTACTGAAGTGCAGTATTAACAGACTTGAGTGTGGGGGGAAATGAGCCTTAGACTTGAGAGAACAACCTTTAGAACGATTGACTTTGGCAGAATATTTAGGAACTGAAGGTCTTTGTACTGTGTCATATACTAAAAAGTGGTTTTTAATTGAACATCTTAAGTACTTCTGTCTCACCAAGTTGTGTTGTAACATTCATAATGACTTATGGACTAACTCCCTAATGTATTTACACTCAATGTTCTGTACTGTAACATATTTATGCATACATTAAGTGGCACTGAACCCTGTCAGTATATGATGAATAGTGCCAGGTAGTTAGTGTAAACCATTTGATGGCAAGAAAAACAAACATTGATGCTCTTTAACTGTACTGTTTGGTAGTTGATGATTAGAGGGACTTTCGTGTACTTGTAGCCAACATGTCCTCCATATTCATCGTTTTCCCACTTGTTTCAGGTCTTCACAGGGCTGTCATTTATATATGAATATGAATATCACACACACACTCTCGTTCCCTCTTCTGTTTCGACGGCAGCGCATTATAGGCACAGATTAAGTGTAGTGTTTAGTGTGGATAATCTGAACACATCTATGCAAACTTTGCTTCATCATGACTGTTGGCGTGTGTCTATGTGGTGACAGCAGCACTGATTTTATCTCGTGCTGATCTGAGTGGTGCCGTCAGGGGGTGGGGGAAAGGATTTTGTGCGTCACCACGTTTTGTTTTGTTTTTGTTTTTTTTCCTTTAACACTTTCAGGCCCGCGGATTATGGTATTTATGAGCAATATGTCCTCGCAGCTCACATCTGGATGATGGTGTCGTTTGTCTTTGTTCAGGGAGCTGGAGGTGACGTGATGATCAAATGAATCTGACACTAGCTGCTCTTTGCTCTGCTCTGCAATAGTGACAAAGCCTATTTGTATCAAGTCCTTTGTGCATTTCTCCATTGACCCTGAAGCTGTAATTCTTAAGTACATTTCATTGGGAATAACTCAACTGATGCAAACATTTCAAAAAAGGAAAATGTCTCAGCTGTGTGGGGTTTTTTTTTTCTTTCTATGCCGTTACGTCTTTAGTGTCTTTAAGTTTACATGTCACTCTCTTCTCTGGCGAAAGTGAAATAAAATCATAGCTAATTGAATTCATTCCTTTAGATCTGCAACTGTTGTATTTATAATTAATGATGATAATGACATTTGTGATGAGTAATAAACCATAATATATTAAATCACTTGGGTAATGTTTTTCTTTTTTGGTGTGTGGCTTACATGTTTGGAAAGATTAAAAATCTAGGCTGGATTTAAATAACCAGCATTCAATTTTGAAATTAAGAGTCGTCCTCGTCTGTTTTTATTTAGAATTGTTCCAGCCATATTTGGCAGGACCAAGCTCCACCAGATGGGTGACTTTTGCTGCTCAAACCCTGCCCCACAAAGCCACTGAACAGACACACTATTGTACAAAAGAAAAGAGATTTTATTCAGTTTTTTTCCCCTTTTATTCATTACAGGAAAGGCGAGGAAGAGTCCAGTCACTGGATTCAAGTCAGCTTATGGAAAAAAAAGGTGATTTGTTAGTTGCTGGAAGGAGGGGAGGGAAAGGAATCGAAGAATTGAATGTTTTCTTTCGGCCCTTTCTCTCCTCTCCTTCAACCTTTTCTTTCTTTTTTTTTTTTTTTTACTTTTCAAATAAATTAAGTTTCCATCACTTTAATGAGGTAACTTTTTTCTAATCTAACCTGCAAATTCTCTGTCCCCACCTCCTCTACTCAGAAGGACATCTTCAAAATTTGGAATGAAGTCCTCATGCTTGGTGTGTCCCTCCAAATAATGTGATCCTCTCAGATACCGAGGGAAGCAGAGGGGACGCGATTCATTCACGCTAAAGCACCTTTGAGGCTAGAGTGACCGGCCACACAGAGACGAAGAGGTGAGACGACAGAAGCTGTTTGCACGGAAAGAAAAGTTGGAAATGATGTTACAGGATCATTTTTATTATTAATAATCATCCTTATTCCCCATAAGCAAACATAGACATCCCTCGGGCGTCAGTCATCTCATGTGTCAGTGTGACAAGTCTTTGGTTTAAACATGAGCGGCTGTGCACCTGGGCTTACACAGAAGGTGAGTGGGAAGAAAGGAGGAAAGAAAAGGACAGGGAAGGCAGAATAGCAAAGGGATTGTTGTCTTTCTTGTCTTCTAGCTTTTTCTTTACTCCTCCTTCTCCTCTCCGTGTGTGATGACGTAGCAGATGTTCTTGTAGTCTACGTTGCCAGCAACATCAGGGGGGAAGGCGGCCCACATGTTCTTAATCTGAGGGAGAAAAGCAAAGTTGGAAATTCACCACATTGAGAAAGTAGCATGGTCCATAATTAAATATTTGGTCCGTCAGTAAAATAATCTCTCACTGAAGAATAATAATAAATTATATGTTTAAAGGAACGGAAAGGAAAAATCGTCTATAAATAGACTTGGGTGTACATTTTTGTCAGTAAAGGGAAAACCCATCCCAAATATCCAAAGAAATAAGGGCGCTACCACATCCCAATCTAGATAAAAAATAGAACTTTTTAACTTACTTCTGTTAAATGATTAAATAATTATTTAAAGTTAATTAATTTTATTTCTTAAAGATAGGCTGAGTAACAGTGTACAGTAACAACATCAAAGGGCCACTGTGCCAAAATGTGGAATTACTGATTTTACCTCCTCCTTGGTGAACCTGTCGCACTGAGTGGTCAAGAGCTCCTCAAGGCTGGAATAGGTTAAAAAAAAAAGAAGATTTTAATGGTTTAAAATCTGAATTCTTTCCACTTGGACCAACATAGAGGATAAAAGAGATTGTTTTAAAAGTCCTCACAATTCCTTCTTGATGGTTCCAGTACCCTCGGGGTCCAGGACTTTAAAGGCGCTAAGAATAACGTCTTCGGGATCAGCACCTGGTGAGGACAGGGGGTCGGTTACACAGTGTTAGCGGGAAAATATGCCAGCATTAGCACATAACTGTGCATCACGTGTTGGCACCCCTTTATCTGAAAGCACTTAAAAGGAAATCAGGGAACTTTAGCGCCAGTGTAATATAAGTCATTTGGTGAAAATGGGATTCCCACCCTTCAGCTTCTCTCCGAACATGGTGAGGAAGACGGTGAAGTTGATTGGGCCGCTGGCCTCTTTGATCATGGCCTCCAGCTCCTCATTCTTCACGTTCAGCTGGCCTGAA